TGAGGACGCAAGACCAACTTCCAAGCGGCCTCAACGGCTCTCTAGAAATGCCCAGCTGTCTCCAAGGAGTATAACCCCTTCCACACCCCACTATCCAGTCGGAGCTGAAGAAGCTTCTTGGATGAGAGGCGAAACGTCTTCAAGAGAAAAACCAGAAAGTCCAGTTGTCTCCTGAAGAAAGCACCTAACCCTAACCGTGCCCTGGATGACTGAGAACCGACGTTGGGCTCAATTGTCGTCGTAAGTCGAGGACTCTCTGCATTATGAAGTTAAGATCAGGAGAACTCTGTGCTGATACTTACATCAGCTTCTGCAGGCATTCGGTGGCAGAGAGGAAGCAATGATCCTTCACCAGCGACTGCCTCTTTAAAGGAAGAACACCACAAAGGGGGTTAGCACCCCTGGGGGCATTTGGGGACACCCCAATCTAAGGTTTCTGGGGTGTCCAAAACATCCTATATCCAAACAGGGTTATTTAATTCATGCAAAGGCACGGCAAACATGCAGAAGTGTGCGGGGTGTCTGAACCGGGACTCGAACCCACGCCAGGACTTACTTGGTTACTGGTGAGGGTGAGGTCTTTCAGGGGCCAGAAGTCTCTGCAAGGAGAAAGGGCAGGGGGTGAGTGACATTTTCAAAGAGAGGGGGAAAGGAGAAGATCAGATTGTAACTGGGGAGCAGCACCTGCTCCAAGGACATTTGGAAGAAATTGCAGGGAGGGAGGGAGGGAAGGAAGGAAAGAAGAGAGGGAGGGAGGATGGAGGGAGGGAAGAAAGGAAGGAAGAGTGGGAGAGAGGAAGCGGAGACAAGGGAGGAAGGAAGGAGGGAGGGAGGGAAGAAAGGAAGAGTGGGAGAGAGGAAATGGAATCAGGGAGGAAGGAAGAAGGGAGAAAGGAAGAAGGGAGGGAGGAAAGTGTTGGAGGGAAGAAAGAAGAGATGTAGGAGGGAGGGAAGAAAGGGAGAGAGGAAAGAGAGAAAAGCAAGGAAGGGAGGAAGAGAAGCAAAGAAGAGCGGGAGATGAAACAGACAGGAAGAAAAGATGAGGAAAGGAGGGAGAGGGGAAAGCATAAGAGGGAAGGAATAAGGGAAGGAAGAGTGGGGGGGAATGATCATAGAGAGAAGAAAGGGAGAGAGAAAAAAGAGAGAAAGGAAAGAAGGGAAGAGGGAGGGAGGGACAAAGGAAAGCATTAGAGGGAAGAAATGAGGGAGGGAGGGTGGAAGGAAGAAAGGGAAAGTGGGAGAAGAAAGAGAGACCAGGGAGGGAGGAAGAAGAGGGGGAAGGGAGGGAAAGGAAAGGGTTAAACGGAGGAAAGAAGAAAGGAAGGAAGGAAGAGAGAGAGGGAGGGAATGAGCATGGAGAGAGGAAAGGGAGAGAAGAAATGGAGATAGAGAGGATGGAAAGAAGAGAGGGTGGGAGGAAGAGAGTATGGAGGGAAGAATGGGAGAGAGGAAACAGAAGAAGAAAAGAAGGGAGGAAGGAGAGAGGGAGAGAGGAAAGCAGAGGGAGGAAAGAAGAGAGAGAGGGAGGATGGAGGGAAGAAAGAGTGAGGGAGAGAAAACAGACAAGGGAGGAAGGAAGAAGAGGGAGGAAAGGGGAAGGGAGGCAGAATGGAAAACGTGAGAAGGAGGAAAGAAGAAAGGGAGAGAGGGGAGGAGGGAGGGAGAGAAGGAGCATGGAGAGAAGAAAGGGAGACACGGAGAAAGGAAAGAAGAAAGGGAGGAGGAAGGGAAGAGGAGAGGAAAGCATAAGATGGAAGAAGGAAGGAACAAAGGAAGGAAGAGATGAAATGGAGAGAGGAAGGAAAGAGGAGAGAGAGGAAAGAAGAGAAACAGGGAGGAAGGGAAGGTTAAGAGGGAGAGAAGGGAGGGCAGGTGGGAGGAAGGAAGACCAAAAGAGTGGGGGAGGAAGGAAGGAAGGAAGGGCACAAAAAGAGAAAGAAAGGGGAAGAAGAGAGAAAGAGAGAGAAAGGGTGGGAGATGAGACAGAGGGAAGAAGTCAGATCGGAAGGGAGAGAGGAAGGAAGGAAGGACGGAGAGAGGAAAGAAAGGAGGGAGGAAAGAAAGGAGGGAGGGGCCTTTCTGAGACCCCCACTCACTTCTGCACATCCAGGTACTCCAACAGGGCCGTGTCCGGGAAGCTACTGAGGCTGGTGATTCCCTGGCAATAATCCTCGTCCTGTTTCTCGTGAGCGACCAGGTACAGCATCAGGAGATCCGGATAGAAGTAAGGGAGGATGAGAGGCAGAATGACGGGAGCTCCTTCTGCGCCCCTAATCCGAGGGAGAGCAACAAACCCCATCATTCCCCGCCTCTCCTTCACCCCGCAACAGCAAAGCACTCTTGACCGCAACACTGACACATTTATTGCTGCCGAGTGTTCTGTGTTCAAATCCAGCCTCATCTATGGAAACTCGGCGGATTTTACTCCGGTGAGTTAATCAGACCGGCCCACCTCGTAGGGTTGTTGTAAAGCACAAAAAGTATATTAAAATATTAGGCGTGCCACCATCATCCCCCAAACAGAAGGTAAGATCTACAGATAGTTCTCGACTTACAACCGTTTGTTTAGTGACCATTACAAATTACAACAACTCATGACTGTTGTTTTTTAAAAATCATGGTCAAATGATCCAAATTCAGATGCTAGGCAACTGACTCGTATTTATGACGGCTGCAGCGTCCCGGAGTCATCTAATCTCCTTTTGCGACCATCTGACAAGCAAAATCAATGGGGAGAAGCCGGATTCACTTAACGACCACGTGACTAACTTAACAACTGCAGCGATTCACTTAACAACTCTGGCAAGATAGGTCATGAATAGGGCAAAGCTCAATAAATGCCTCGTTTAGCAACGGAAACGTTAGGCTCAATTGTGGCCGTAAATCGAGGACTAGCTATAAGTCAAAAGAAACAAGGACACCAGTGAATCTGGGAGGCTAAAATCACGAAAATATAAGATTTTTTTTTTAATGGGGAACAAAACTGAAGCAGCAATCAGATAAAGCAACTGAGATTGCATCGGTATGTCCAGGAATGAATCTTGGCCTTTTAAGCATTTGAAATTGAATGTGTGAATTTGTACAACATGGTTTATGTCTTGGTATTAAATGAGCACCAAAGGACTGTGGCTTAAGTCAGTGTTTCTCAACCTTGGCAACTTGAAGATGTCTGGACTTCAACTCCCAGAATTCCCCAGCCAGCGAATGCTGGCTGGGGAATTCTGGGAGTTGAAGTCCAGTCATCTTCAAGTTGCCAAGGTTGAGAAACACTGGCTTAGGTAACAAACCATGATTTGAACAATCAAGGGCTTAACCGAGTTGTATATCAATACCTTTTTTCTGTGTTTTGCGGGGATTTGAAGCTTTTGACCTTGAAAGCAAGTTGCAACAAACCTCTACAAGAGAAGAAATGTAAAAGAGATTGTTAGAAGACAATAGGAAAATTTGAAATTTAAACTCAGAATTTAAACTTTAAGCTCAGAAAAGACACTTGGAAAATTAGGAAATTTTTTAAAAAGTCATTAAAGGACTCTAGGAAATTTAAAATTTAAATTAAAAAGTCTACAATTTAAAATCAGAAAAGACACTTTGAAAATTAGGAAATTTTTAAAAAGTCATTAAAGGACTCTAGGAAATTTAAAATTTAAATTAAAAAGTCTACAATTTAAAATCAGAAAAGACACTTTGAAAATTAGGAAATTTTTAAAAAGTCATTAAAGGACTCTAGGAAATTTAAAATTTAAACTCAAAAGTCTACAATTTAAACTCGGAAAAGACGCTTGGGAATTAAGAGAGATCATTAGAAGATGCTGGAAATTTTAAAATTTAAATATATGGAAATGATACTTGGAAAATTAACAAAGTTAAAAAGGAGCATTAGAAAGACACTGGAAAATTTAAACATGGGAACTGAAAATTTAAATTCGAAAAATTAAGAAATTTGAGAGAGATCATTAAAACACACTGAGAAATTTAAATTTAAAACACAGTAACTTACAATTTAAATTCAAAAAAGAAACACAGAAAATTAAGAAATGTAAAAGAGATCATTAGAAAATACCCAGAATTTAAAATTTAAACTCAGAAAAGACTTGGAACATTAGGAAATTTAAAAGGGATCATTAGAAAAACACTTAGAAATTTAAAGTCAGAAAGTTATATTTTAAATTCAGAAAACACAGACAGAAAAATAAAATACTTAAAAGAGCTTATTAGAAGACTCCAAAATCTAAAATTAAAACTCAGGAAAGATAAAAATTCAAGGCCAGAAAATTAAGACATCTTAAAAAGGTAATTAGCATTCTCTCAAAAATTAAAAAAACTCAGAAATTTAAATTTCGAACTTTTTCTAAACTATGATTTAGCTAAAAACTTGGTGCTTTCACCTTTATGTATAAGAGAAACCGAGCAAGGGGTTAGGCTAGAAGACCTCCAAGGTCCCTTCCAACTCTGTTATTCTGTTATACAGGCAGTCCTCGACTTACAACCGCAATTGAGCACAAACATTTATGTTGCTAAATGAGACATTTGTTAAGCGTTTTGCCTCCGTTACGACCTTTCCATGCCACATAAGTGAATCTCTGCAATTGTTAGGTGAGTAACGTGGTTGTTAAGTGAATCTGATTTGGCTTGTCAGAAGATCGCAAAAAGGAGATCACATGACCCTGGGACACTGCAACTGTCATAAGTATGAGTCAGTTGCCAAGCATCTGAATTTTAATCATTGGGGATGCTGCAATGCTCAAAAGTGTAAAAATTGGTCATAAATCTTTTTTTTTTACTACCTTTGTAACTTCGAATCGGTCACCAAACAGACAGTTGTAAGTCTCTACGGTTAAAAAATGATATTTTCCCTATCTAAGGTCTCTTACAAATAAAGAAAAATTTTAGAAGCACAACCCAGGCAAAAAGCGAATGAAAAATGCCAGAGTTCGTCCAAAGCAAAAATTAAATTTATTTGCGGTTGCTCAAGAATGAAGTTTTCCAGGAATCGTGCAACCCAAGGCATAACTTACTGGTAAAATTCCCATATTTTCTTGGAGTAGTGTTTGACCTCTTCTTGGGCCATTTTCAAGAGATGCTTGTTGGCCCCGATGCCAGAATAAGTGGACTGAAAGACCAAAATCATAGCTTTCAGCAATTTCCCCAGAGGATGCAATGAGGATCCCAGAGCCTGGAAAATAAAATAAAAAAATAAACTATTTTAAAAGGTGGATTTCAGATTTGGGCATAAAACAGCTAGATAGATAAGGAAAGTCCAAATAACGTTGGTCTCTATGTTCCTATTATAGGTAGTCCTCAATTTACAACAATTCGTTTAGTGACATTTTGAGGGACAATGGCAAGGAAAGAAGTTACTTATGACCGTTATTCACACTTACGACCATTGCAGCAGTCCCCAGAGTCACGTGATAAAAAAATTCAGACGGCAACTCTCGCAAATGAAGTCAATGGAGAAGCCAGATTCACTTAACAACCATGTTACCCATTTAACAACCATAATGATTTGCTCAACAACAGAGGCAAGGAAAGTGGTAAAATGGAACAAACTCGCTTAAAAAAATGTCTCACTTAGCAACAGAAATTTAGTTGCCGAGCATGCAAAAAATTTTATCACGCGACCTTGGAATGCTGCAACAGTCGTCAGGGCGAAAAAAAAGTCACTTTTTTTATTCTATAAAATATTTTATTCAATTTTCACATTCCATTTGCAATCATTTATATACAGGGNGATGATGTTACCTAGTTGGGCCATGAAACATCTGCATGGAAACAACCAAATTGAGAGAGCACCAAGGACTTCACAGTCATCCTCTTCCTCCTCCTCTTCTTCCTCCTTCTCCTCCTCCCACAGTCCTTGTCCTCCTCCACAATCTCCTCCTCCCCTCCTCCTCCTCCGCACAACACCCCCTTCTACCACTGATGATGTTACCTTGTTGAGTCATGAAACGTCTGCAAGAAAATAACAATGCTCAGAGAGCACCAAGGACCTTACATTTTATTTACTCACAAGATGCAAGCTGCCTTACCTCTCCTTGTCATCCAAGACACCATACCCCGTTCTCTTGTCCTTCCTCCAGTGTCCTGTGTATTTAAATGGGTGTTCGGTACTCATGGGACTATCCAGAAGGCCAAAACCTTCACGCATGTTGTCCTTGAAATATCCTTTGTAGACCATCTCATTGCCGTATCTGAAAAATAAGCCCACTTTAACAAAGACCTCTTCAATGGAGAGTGACTTTATACAGTCCTCGACTTATGACTACAATCAGGGCCAGAATTCCTGTTGCAAAGTGGCTGTTAAGTGTGCTGCACCCAATTCTGCACCATTTTTGGCCCAGTCCTTAAGCGAATCACTGCAGTGGTTAAGCAAGTCATGTGGTCGTTAAGTGAATCCAGCTCCCCCCATTGACTTTGTTCGTCAGAAGCCGGCTGAGAAGGTCGCAAATGTGACCCCAGGATGCCGCAACCGTCATAAATACAAGCCGGTTGCTGAATAGCCAAGTGAGGAAGCTGTGACGGTCATAAGTGTGAGGAGTGGTTCTTAAGTCACTTTTCCCAGTGCCATTTTAACTGAACTGCTCAGCAAATGGTTGTAAGTCAAGGACTCATGGTATCCTCCTCATTCAATGAAAATGCTAGCCAGTTTATGAAGAGAGGTAGAAAATCTTGATTTAATTATATTTTACTTTGTTTATTAACCCGCCTCCAAAAAATCCCACATACAAAAACAATAAAAGTACATACGTTATAAAAAGAGAGAGATAATCGGTGCCTTTAAAAGAAAGTTTAAAAAAATAGAAAAATTGCATTTTAATGGTAAATAGAATTCCAGATAGTTTATATAATTCTATTATTATTCAATCACATTCTTTAAACACACGTAATCGTCAACTTACAACCCACAATTGAGCCCAAAAAATTTATGTTGCTAAGCAAGGCAGTTGTTAAGTGAGTTTTGACCCACTTTATGGCCTTTCTTACCACCATTGTTAAGTGAATCACTGCCGTTGTTAAATTAGTCACACAGTTGTTAAGTGAATCCGGCTTCCCCATTAACTTTGCTCCTCAGAAAGTCGCAAAAAAATACAATAGCAGAGTTGGAAGGGACCATTGAGGTCTTCTAGTCCAACCCCCTGCTCAGGCAGGAAACCCTATACTGTTCCAGGCAAATGGCTATCCAACATCTTCTTAAAGACTTCCAGTGTTGGGGCATTCACAACTTCTGGAGGCAATTTCTGTTCCACTGGTTAATTGTTCTAACNCAATCCCCATCCCTAATCCTCCCGACTTCCCAGGGCCCACACCTGGCACTACCTTCTATCTAAAATATCTTGTATACATATGGATTAAAAAAAAAAAAGTCACTTTTTTTTAGTGCCGTCGTAACTTCAAGTGGCCGCTAAATGAACTGTTGTAAATCGAGGTCTACTTGAATATGAAAGAGCCTTTTTTTCCAGACATGCAAAAATGGGTGTTCAGCTGACCTTTTGACAGAAATACAAAGCATAAAGCAACGGATGGAAACTAATCCAGGAGAGAAGCAACGTGGCATTAAGGGGAAACTTCCTGAGAAGTGAGGACAATTAAACAATGGAACTCCTTGCCACCAGAAGTTGTGGGTGCTTCATCCTTAGAGGGTTTTAAGAAAACCCTTGACAGCTACTTGTATGGAATGGCAGAGGGTAGTTATGGAGCACCTTTTTCACCTCGGGTGCCAAAGCATCGCATGCCCACCGCCATAATTTAATGCCCCATGCGCCATGCTCCCTACTCATGAGCATGTGACCCTCCCAGTGCCCTGTGCATGTGCGCACGACTTTCTTGGAGCCTGGGGGTGCTGAAAACAGCCTCCCGTGGCCCCTCGAGGTCCTCTGGATGCCAGAACTGACGCATTTTTTGACTTCTGGTGGGCCTGGTAAAGCGGTGGGTTGCAGGCGGTAGAGCCTGGATGCGCGCATACCAGTGCCTGCCGGAAGCAGCAACCACCATACTGGAATGGTGCTTTGGAGGGCCCGCCCGCCCTCGTTCCTTCCCTGTATTTGAAGGAAACGGGCCATCTGCGCCCGCACGCATAGCGTAGGGTGCCTGCGCGACACTCCACCGAGCAGCTGGGGCGTTGCAGGCGTTGGGTGCCCGTGATGCACGCCCGGCTCCCATTGCAGCGTGCCGGTTGCAACAGGAGCCGAAACTCACTACTGGCCCAATAGGTCCGTTTTTCGCCCTTCAGAGGCTCCTGAGGCTTTCTAGGAGCCTGGGGAGGGAGGGAAAACGGCCCAAGAAGCATACCGGAAGTTTGGGAACAGACCTCCAGGTTGCTGGCTGGGACATTATTCTCCCTCTGGAAGCTCCGGGAGGCTTCCCTGAAGCTTCCGGAAGGCAAAAAACAGCCCAATGCGCAAACCGGAAGTCTGTTCCCGAACTTCCGGTATTGCTTGTTGTCCGAAAAACGGGCGAAAATCAGCCGACCGGAGTGCGCATGTGAGCCTCAGAAACGGCTCTGCGTGCCAGAGGTTCTCCACCACAGTCATAGGGTCTCGTGCTTGAGCAGAGGGCTGGACTAGAGGACCTCCAAGGTCCCTTCCAGCTCTGTTATTCTTTGACGCTTACCTGGGCTGCACCATACCTGTTGCAAATAACTCAGCAGATCTTCCGGCTCCTGGTGTTTTATTAGTTCTTCCAGGAAGTCCGTCTTCTCGGTCGTTTCTGCGGTTCCTCTAGAGGAGAAAGACGGAGTTGAATAAAACCATCGAGTAAAAACTCTCCAGTTCGGGAGCCTCACAGTTTATCTGATGTTATAGGTAGTCCCTGACTTATAACCATTCGTTAAGTGATCGCTCGAAGTTGGGACGGCACTGGAAAAATGGGATTTTACAACCGTTTTTCACACTTACGACGACCGTTGCAGCCAACCCATGTGATCTGAATTCAGACGCTTAGCAAACCGGCTCGTATTTATGACGGTCGCAGTGCCCTGGGGCCACACAGTCCCGTTTTGCGACCTTCTGACCAGCANTTAGGGTTAGGTTAAGGGTTAGGGTTAGGTTTAGGGTTAGGTTTAGGGTTAGGTTAAGGGTTAGGTTGAGGGTTAGGTTAAGGGTTAGGTTGAGGGTTAGGTTAAGGGTTAGGGTTAGGGTTAGGTTTAGGGTTAGGTTAAGGGTTAGGTTTAGGATTAGGTTAAGGGTTAGATTTAGGGTTAGGTTATGGGTTATGTTTAGGATTAGGTTTAGGGGGGTTAGGTTTAGGTTTAGGGGTTAATTTTAGGTTTAGGGTTTACAGCATGCTTCTTTCTCCGCGCTGTTGTCGCTGTGTTGATGACATCAGCGACGCGGTTTAGTCGGGCGCGATTTAGTCGGGCGCGGTTTAGTCGGGCGCGGTTTTGTGGTGGAACCGCGGCTCCGGCGCCTGCAAGGTGGAAGTGTTTGCCCTGCGGGGCGGGCAAAAGCCGAAAGAAAGCCCCCCACCGCTTCCGTCTGACATAGAGACGTCCCGTGCCCCGCAGCTGGGTCGGACATAGCTGCAGGGTGCGGGACGCCTCTATTTCGGACATAGCTGCTGCGGGGCGGGCAAAAGCTGCTTTCTTTCTTTTTGCCTCACCAGCCATAAGCTTCACCGCACGCCACTGCTACCTACCTACCTACCTATCTCTATTTATCCATCTATCATCTGTCCATCTGCCTATGTGTCTGTCTATCTATCATCTATCTTATCATATCTCTCTCATTTATTTATCTATCAATTTATCAATCCATCTACCCATCATCTGTCCATCTTTCTATTTATCACCTATCTCTCTCTATATATATAAATAAACTACACAGTATTAAATCTACAGACCTGGGATTTCTTGGTGGTCTCCTGTTCTAGGGATTTATCAATCCCGATGTTAAGAAAAAAACATTTTAAGCAGCAGCCTGACTCCTCCAGACTCCAGACCTCAGTTCAATGCCTTCTCCATCTCATACTTGCCTTGCCAACAAACTTGAAGTCGTTCGTGAAATTCCCCTCGTAGACGGAATCATCCTCCAGAAGGAGAAGACCGGATCCCTTCCAGAGAGGAAGAGAGGAAAAAGAAAGAAAGAAATCGTTGGTTGAAGATGGGGTTGAAAATCAATATATTTAGCCTAGCAAGGAGGAGCTAAGCTCAATTCAAAGACGTTATTAATTTTCTACTTTTTCTTTAAGTATATATTNCCTCCCGGCCTTCCGCAAAGCCACCAAGTCCTGGCTGCTCCAGCAGGCCGGGGGGCTTGTGAAACATCCAGCTCCACGGAAACTGTGAATGTTGCGTTTTTTAAAGTGTTGTCTTTGTCTAGTTATCCCCCTTCCCTTGTGTATTGTGAGCTGCCCGGAATCCTTCGGGAGTGGGCGGCATACAAGACAAATAAACTAAACTAAACTAAACTAAACTAAACTAAACTAAAGTCAGCGGGGAAGCCGAATTCGCTTAACGACCGTGTGAGTAACTTAACGAATGCAGGGATTCACTTAAGAACTGCGGCAAGGAAGGTTGTAAGTATGGGGCAAAATTTAACTTAAGAGCAGTCTTGATTGACGGCATAAATTTTGGGCTTCAGCTTTGCTAGCTGAGGAATTCTGGGAGTCTTATAAAGTTGCCCAGGTTGGAGACCCCTGCTTTAAATAACCTGCTCCCAACCCGGGTACAGCTTTGAAGGTGACCACCAACACCTGGAATTACACCTGGGAGCACATCGGCAGCCAACGCAACTCCCGCAAGAGAGGTGTACCAATCTAGATTTGCACAAAACCCCTCGTGTGTTGAAGCAAACGAAGCTTCCAGGTAGTTCCCAAGGGCAGCCCCAGGCAGAGCACTGTGCGGTAGTCAAGATCTAACCCCACCGTCATCATCGTTTTCATGAAGATGGCAAACCCGAGGCCCCGATCCTGCTGCCCAGAAACAGCGACGGTTTCTCGCAAGGCGAACGGCCGTTTACCCGTGGCAGAAGAGATTCTCCTGAGATTTGCGCAGCTCGCGGCTCGTCTGGACGTGAAAACCCATGAACGATTCTTCGGCGTCTGCTTGGCCTCCCTCGCGGACGAACGCCAGAAACTGGTCATAGAGGCCTTCCCATCGCTTCTCCACCGGGAAGAGCTCCTGACCCAACTGGCTGGACGAGAAAAACATATGGTTCACACGTACAACATCGCCCACTGTCAGAGTTCCGAAGGATGCCCTAATTTAAATCATGAGTATCGAGCCAAGCTTCAAAAGAAATCCAGTTTTTTTATTAGGAGCAACATGTCTGCAGTACCCAAATGAAGCCAACTCTGACCCCACGTAATTTACGGCCCAACTATGACCCTATTTTCCCCCTCCCCCCCCCAGGGTGTGTCATAAATCACATTCTCCAACGGAGCACTTTCATGGGCTGTAGAAATCATGCCCCTCTGACTAATGCGGGTAACCTGGGAGACAGCCTTGAGAAAGATATGCATGGAATGTGCCATGCCGCGTCTGTCATCAGTTCCCCACTCCCCTTGCCTATGGCAACTCGAGAGCAGGCCAGGGATGTTTTGTGAGTTGACACCCACCCTCGATGACTCTCAAATCACGCGCAAATGGAAATCCGTAAGCATCTAAGGCAGCAGGCTATCAGCCCTGGCAATGAACATCTATTCGAGTTGACCTCACGGACAGTCCTCGACTTACAACAGTTCATTTAGCGACCGTTTGAAGTTACGACGGCACTGGAAAAAAGTGACTTAGGACCATTTTTTCACACTTACGACTGTTGCATCCATTCCCATGGTCTCATGATCAACATTCAGACACTTGGCAACTGACTCGTATTTATGGCGGTTGCTGTTTCCCAGGGGGTTACCTGACCCTCTTTTGCGGTCTTCTGATGGACAAAGTCAGTGGGGAAGCCGGGTTCGCTTAACAACCGTGTGACTGTCTTAAGAACTGCAGTGATTCACCTAACGAACGTGGCAAGAAACTCACTGAACAACTGTCTCATTTGGTGACAAAGTATGGGCACAATTGTGGTCGTACGTCGAGGACCGCCTGAATAAACTCCGTATTTTCCCGCAAGAAGTCAAATTATGTAAAGTTGACTAAATGGAGATACTTGGTCCACGAAAGGGCATACTTGGGATAAGGCCAAAAAGTCAAAACGGAACCCACAATGACTGTTTTTCACCTCTTTCAAAAATGATAGCTATGGACCCTGGGTCTAGGCGTCTTACTGAGCATCATGGCTTAGCAAGGTCTCCAAATCCTGATCTAATGATTCTAACCCAACACTTCACTATATTGAAAACTTGTGAACTTCAACTCCCAGAATTCTCCACACAGTGTGCTAGCTGGGGGAATTCTGAGAATTGGAGTCCTCCCCCCCTTAAAGCATGACTGGCTGGGGGATTCTGGGAGTGGAAGTCCTCCCCTCTTAAAGCATGTTGGCTGGGGGATTCTGGGAGTGGAAGTCTTCCCCTCTTAAAGCATGATGGCTAGGGGATTATGGGAGGTGGAGTTCTCCCCTCTCAATACCATCGACCATGGTATCCTTCTGCGACGACTGCGGGAGGTGGGGGTGGGAGGCACTGTTTTGCAGTGGTTCTCTTCCTACCTCTCGGAC